CCTTCCTTCCTTCCTTCCTTCCTTCCTTCCTTCCTTCCTTCCTTCCTTCCTTCCCTGCCTTCATTCATTCCTCTTTTTCTTTCCTTCTTCATTCTCCTTTCTTCTTCCTTCATCTCTTTCCTTATTTTTCCTTCCTTGCTCTCTTCCCATCTTTCCTTCCTTTTCTTTGTGTTTCCTCTTCTCCTTTCTCCTTTCCTGTTCCTTCTTGCATGCTCAAATGCAAAGGGGGAAATATTTTTTTCCTTTTGTTTTGTTTTTAGTTTGCTTTGAAAGCATTCTGCCAGCAAAAATGGAGCTCCGGGGGGGCCATGCACCCCCTCTGAGCTCCGTTTTCATTAGCAGAGGCACCGCAGGCCAAGTTCTTTGCTGTTTCCAGGCCAGTCCCGTGGGCCAGATCTAAGCATCCCATGGGCTGGATCCAGCCTGCGGGCCTGGAGTTTGACATCCCTGTGCTAAAAGAAGGGGTACATTGTTACCAGGGATTCTGAACAAATATTCACCAATTTGAAATAGATATTTGTCCATTTCATTAAAGCGGGGAATATAACCTAGTTTTTATGTACCACAATCTCTGATTAAAATATGTTCACTTTGTGTTTATCAGAATGTGCTTATCATTTGAATATGTAATGAATGATAGCTGATAATACAATGGGAAAAAACATAGAAATAAGTGATCTTATTACCGATTTTAATGCAAAAAGCCTTGCACATATGCGTACACTCCCAGGTATTACTATGTCTATGCTTAAAGGACAACTGCATATTTTAGCTGCAAACCACAATGCTGTGCCAATTACAAAGCAGAGGTGAGAAAGTGTATATGCCTCTTAATGTGGTTAAATGTCAGGAAGGTAATTACAGAAGGTGACATTTATGGGACTATGCTGGACATCATTATTCTTTTGTGATTATTGTATTTTCCAACCTGTTGCTTAGCATGGAATAGATATTTCACAAACAGCAATCTGGACATGGGGGGAAAAAAATCCCTCCAAAAAAGGGTGAGGGGGGGTATGTCACAACAACTCTATTAACCAAAAAGTAATTTGTGTTCATCTTTCTTGACCTTTCCGTCATCTGTGGATAATTATTGCAAAGCCCCTGGATAGCTGTTTCACTAATGCTATTTACTAGATAAAAAAGATCTTGGAACTGAACATGAAAAAGGTAACATGAGCAAGTTCATCCAATTTGTGGCAAATTTTATTGCCATTTTAATTGCCTAGTAATTGTTTTCGGTACACAAAAATAATTGCATAAAAGAGATGTGAACAACAAATATGCTTTTTTCACCCCACCCCTCCCACACACTTACATGCAAACTGAAGCTTTGCTTTCCTGCTCAGAATTGTTCCAAATGAATTTGTGACCAAACACTGGTATGTTCCAATATCCTGTTTCTTATGTGGATTATTGATTGTCAAGCTGCCTCCAACCAGACTGTAGTGATAACTCATGCTAAGATCAATATCTGTGCCATTTCGCTTCCACCTTTGAGGGGGGAGAAATCAAATTATACTTATAATTTACAGAGGCTATTCGGGTTTCATTTTTATGTAGTTGCTGTAACATACCTGCAACAATGAAAAGCACAGTTAAAATATTAGAATATTGTATCATATTGCACAGCAGACTAATTTTTATATCTATCTTGTAAATTTCACTGTAAATTTTACAGTCTAGAAAACTTTCTTTTGAATAACACATTCTATGCAAACAGCTAAATGTCTTCAAAAAATAATGTCAACTTATTCCTGTCATCCAATCTATACATTTAAACAGCAGAATGTCACTACATTCTTTTTTATATACTATCAAAGTACCTGGAAATACTCTATATTTTACAGCCTATGCTACTAATGCAATAAATTTGCTTGTAATAAAGATTTCAGAGATCTAACTCAGAACAAAATATACTTCAAAAGGCAGGAAAAAAGCAAGAAAGGGTTGTTTTGTATCATTTGAGATTGACAATGTAATAATGATAACACTATTATTTTAAAGCAGGATCTGTCTCCCTTAGCTTGTTAGACAAAAAAATGAATCATGTCTGCAACGTATCACAACTATTTACAAATATCAAAATAAATTATGTTCCATATATAACAATATTTTCTACAAGAGTAATAATAATGATACTCCAGGTAGATTAGCCATTTCTTCTCATGAAAATTATGTTACCTAAAAGCAAGTCTGCCATATTTGGGCAACAACATTCCAAACAAGCACATATTAGAAATTATTAAACTCGGCTGTGTTTTGTAATTCGTCAGATTTTGTTACCATCCAGATATGATACCCTTTTTTAAAAACTCTGTAGATCTAGAACTGAAGACTCTAGTCCCAAACTCCAAGTTAGATTTGCCTTGGCCTTCTGGTTGATTTTTTTTTTCATAGAACGACAATCCAAAAGTTTTGGATAAGCAACTATTTTCTTGTTGGGGAAAAGGTGGTTGAAAATGAACATTAGCATTGGCATTAGTCATAGAAAATTGTAAGAAAGAGCCAACTGTATGATAAATACGGCAATGACAACAAACAATCTAAATTAGTACAAAAATCTAGCTAATCATATTTTTCATAGGAGTAATAATAAGACGTTAGCTATCTGTTGTTGAGAAAAAATAAGTTATCTAAAAGTAACTGTCTCTGAATCCATATTCCATACAATCACTCAATAGAAACAAGTAATTAAAATTGTCGATATCTTCTGCTTCTTCAGATTTTTGTTCTGTTCAGTTTAACCAGAGTTTAAACATGTTGAGACCAATGACAATGTTGACTTTACATTCATAAATTCATACTTCAGATTTTTTTTTTCTTTTTGAAAATACCAGTTAAACTTTGAAGGAGTAATGAAAGCCATTGGCAATTTGGGCTGTTTTGATCAATTTATTTCCTTTGGGTATTTCAGTTGTTGTAAGAGGAAATTAGTTTTCCTCAATCTGCCAAATGGCAGTATAGCCTAAGCAGAAGGGATGGCGCCTGAGCTGTGAATTATCTTTATTTTCGTGGAGTGTCCTTATTCTATATAAGTGTCTTAAATCCAAGGAAGCATTAGTGAAAACAAATAATATTTATAGAGGATGGTTTGCTACTGGTATGCCCTGTTTCCAAAACTTGATTGTCAAATATAGTTTGACACTTGGAAAATATTATGTATAAATCTAACTCCATCATGGTGTTATTGCTTATTGTTTTTGGGTGTGGGATAGGAGTTGTGGACATTTTGTGTGCCATTACCATAAGGTAAGATGCCATAAACTTTTTTGCCTTTTCTTGAATTTCTCCTTTGTTAGAATATTCATGACAGGGAGAGACATGATAACAAGGTCAGCCAATGAATAAGCGCTGAAACAACTAGGGGCTAGGGTGTGGTTTAGCTTGCAACCTTCTGAGTCTGTGCTAAGAATTGAAACATAAACTTAAGACTCTGTCTGCTCTGAACTCTGAAATGAAACTAATTGTTCTCTCCTGCTTGTGTTCTGCTTGTAAGTTCTACCATGTTGAAAGAATCTATTATTGGTATTGTACATTTATTCATTTGTTATTATGAATATAAAGAAGCTAATCAATCCAGCTGAATCAGTTATCTCTGTGTACTTTCTGGATCTGATCTTTCTGTAACAAACTCTGACATCCTTGTATTTCAAGTCTACCACTGGAGAAATGATTTTAGTAGGAGTTGTAATGGAGAGGTACTGGGTACTCCTGTTTTTGTGAGAAGCAGATGAGACCTCACTGAGAGAACCATCTATTTCCTCCCTGGGAATGTGAAACATATTTAATATACATTATATGGGACCTGGTTGAAAATTTATTTTGTGATTTATGTTCTGACAAGATCTATTCCAATGGAAATGGAAATGAAGCCAGAGTAAATTTAAATTAAATTACCTTGCCAATTTGTCAGACTACATATGAAGTTTAATTGGTATAAAATATCTGACCTGACTCCCCTTTAAAATAAATAATTAAATCAGTAATGCTTAATCTGAAGATCTTATTTTTACAATGAAAGCATTTGTACAGATGCATGAAAAAGTAATTAAGGTTCAGAGGCTGAAAAGGAATTTCAGAAAGGTTTAGCTAAAGTTCTTTTAGATAAATACATATATTTCCCCCCCAAAATGAATGAAACTGAATGGATCAATTGAAAAACATCAACTGAATTCTATAAACAGTTGTCTATAGCTCAGAAACATTTCTTAGACCAGCCTTTCAAAGGTTTGTCTTTATGCAGTCATGTGATATCAGAGTACTGCTTGCTGGCTGCTGCTGTTCATTTTAACTCTTCGATTCTTATGTTCTTTATCTAATTTCAGATTTTTATCAGGTTCTACTGGACCTGTTGGGTATTCTGAATCATTTCATAACTCAATTCTCTGGATTTCATTTTATTTTTCCCTCACCGCCCATTTAAATCTATATACAATATATGTCCTCCGGATCCAAAATGTTCTAATGCTGGAAACACTAGTCGTTAATTTGCCAGCTCACTTTAATTTCTGAATCAATCACTGAAATAACTGCTGTCATCATTACATGGTTCCCAATTAAACCCTATAATTGTTTCTCAACACAGATGCAAAGTTGTTGGCTTACTTGCAGCAAATGAATTTTTCACATCGTCCCATAATCATTCTAATCACACAGTGTGATTATTATTAAACTGTGCATATAGATAAGGAACTCAGCTCCTGGTTATGGTCTTCTCTTAATTAATATGTTTAAATCAGTGAAGGAAAGCTATTAATGAATGCATATGATTGCCAGGTGAGTCTTTAATCAGATCATGCATACCCTGATGAATTACTTAAAATTCATCAAGAAACAAAAACTTGGAAATGATTTGGAAAAAAAACCATGTACATTCAGTACAGATTAATTATTTTATAATGGCTTTAAAATGCAAGTATAAAATTGTTCTGGTATTTGTGCAAAACATGAAAGTCAAAGAATGTATGAACATTCAATGTATGACATGGAGACAGCTACTTATACTGATTCTACTTCAAAAACCTTCTCCAATAAACAAGTTCCTCAGAAACATGGAGGGTTTTAGTTGCGTTTCAGCCAAAATGACTAAAATTCCCCTTAATTACTCTAAGGTAGTGCAGGATGATCAAGAATTGAAGGGATGAACCTGTAACAGCCTACCTCGAATATTCTTATCCCATTTGTCTTGTGGGTTGCTATTCCTATTTAGGGAGATGGTTTTAGAGAGTGGAATTTTGGCCCCAGATTGGATATGCTGCTTTTCATAGGTCAGATTAAGCCTGCAGACCAGAGATTCCCCACTGCTAATCTGTGTCCTTTGATTATCATTCCAAATACAGAATGCACTCCAAACTGAGTGAGCACAATATTAGATCAAGAACACAAAATCTATCCTTTTATGCATATCTGGTTTTGAGCAATTGAATGAAGCAGAGAAAACCCAGTACAAACACTGCTAAGAAAACAAAATATTTAAAACTGATACTGTTTTAAGTACATTCCATAGCTATGAATTTATCATTTTAGGAATACTGTACCCTTAATTTCAAGGGGAAAAAAAGTTCTACCAAAACTTTCAAGTTCAAGACAGTCCTTCCTTCCTTCCTTCCTTCCTTCCTTCCTTCCTTCCTTCCTTCCTTCCTTTCTTCCTTCCTTCCATAATAGACCTCAATCCCAAGGAACTTTTACTATAAAATTTGATATAGGGAAAATAATGTTGAGAGATAGGTGTAATGACCAAACCTTTGACCATTTTTTAAATAGAATAGATCAAGAGTGTCAAACTTGCAGCTTCCCATTGTTGTCATGTGACATATTGCAACTCCCCCTCCTTTGCTAAACCAGGGGTGGACATAGCCAACACATGACGCATCCAGCCCACAAGTTTGACACCCCTGGAATAGATCATTTTAATTAAAAGTACTTGTAATCAAAGCTTTTTAACAATTGTGGTTCCTGTCCTATGGGTATGAATTTAGTAATCATATTTTGTGGCTAATTAGGACCATGTTCTAGAACTAGCATGGCAAGATAAGTTAATTCCCTAGTAGCAACATTAAGTTCTTAAAATTTTAACTATTTCATCTGAAAATACTTCAAATCACTTAGATCGGAAATACACAACTTGTTAAATTCAGCAGCTGGCTGGTGGTGACAAATCAATCAATTGTAAGTATACTGAGAAAACTTTGTTCTTAGTGATAGATGACCTACCTTCAACAAAATGCAGATTTTGTTTGGCTCAGCAAGGTATTTTCCTTAAAGTCATAAAATAATTTGAGCAGTACTTTCCAAATCTAGAAACTCAGTCACAGAGTTCATCAAGAACCAAAAGGGATCTCAGTTATTACCCTGACACACCATTTTGCCATTACAATGTATTATTTGGTTGGAAGGGAAGGACAAGAATTGAAAATTGACTTGAGTTGAAGGAGGATTGAAATCCAGGATTTGATGGGCCTGCCCTCAAATTTAACTGGAAACTGACTTTTATATTTTCAAACCAGGGTAAATTAAACATCATCACAGTATCTTTTTCCTCAGTCTGTGTTTTATTACTTCAACTACTTAAAAAATTATAAAAACCTAATTAATAACAAAATAGGGGGCAGTTTTTGATGGGTGGATACTGGAACATGTATGTCCTTATATATTTTGGTTTACTTTAAACTGGAGAAGAGAATAGATCTCTTGAAGCCAAGGCACCATTTTCCTTTTCTAAAAATTGCCTTTACACAGAGGATTTTTTGTACATGGTACTAAACCAGCTAACGCAATATAGAAAAGTAATGTTCCACAGCGAAACAGTATCCTTAACTGAATTTCAATGAAGATCCAGATAATGTTGGGAACAATTTTGCTAAGCTTATTTAATCAATGATATACATAATATGTTCCATTTTTATCTTCACTCAGCGTTTAATGTTTCATTGTTTCCATGAAGTTGTTAAATAGAAACATAAAATTGTGTGTGTGTGTGTTTGTGTATGAATGTGTGTGCGTGTGTGTGTGTGTGTGTGTATGCTGGTTTTGTTGTATTTGGGTCTTTTCCCATGTAAGATTGAGATTGTCCTGGCAACATTTCAGCGATGTCTCACTCGCCATCTTCAGGCTGGGTGTGGGGCTTAAAGTGTGATCGGACCTGCCGTCTTTCTATAAATCTTGGTGGAAGGACAGCAAGAAACACAGCAGCTCCAATCACACTTTAAGCCCAAAACCCAGCCTGAGGATGGCGAGTGAGACCTCGCTGAAATGTTGCCAAGACAATCTCAATCTTACACAGGAAAAGACCCGAATACAACAAGACCAGCATACCTATAGTTTTATCTTGATGGTAGTATTCTCACTAACATAAATATTAATTATTTTATAGAGCTTCATCTAGTTAAATGGATGGAAGCAATGGATGGAAATTAATCAAAGAGAGAAGCAACCTAGATCTAAGGAGACATTACCTGACACTTAGAACAATTGATCAGTAGAACAACTTGTCTCTAGAAATTGTGGGTGTTCCAACATTGGAGGTTTTTAAGAAGAGATTGGACAACCATTTGTCTGAAATGGTATAGGGTTTCCTGTCTGAGCAGAGGGGTTGGATTAGAAGACCTCCAAGGCCCTTCTAACTGTGTCATTCTATTCTATTTTAAATCCAATTATTTCAATACAGGATTTGGATGTTTGGGTGGAAATATGCATAATAGTGTGATTTTTTTGTTGTCTCAAATGTTCTGTATGCTATCTAAATAATGGAGCAGTATCAATTTACATTTTCAAAATAATATAAGTTTTTATTTTTAAAAATAACATCACTAGCTGGAATAGACCCTTGGCATTCTAATTTTGCATCAGTAAAACATATAAAAATACATTTAGTAATTTTTTTCTGAGTGAAATAAAGTCAGAAAACAAAATAGCTGTGCTATATATTCCAGTAAATAAACAAGTAAAGTTTGTGTAATTTTAAAAATAAATAAATAAAATTACCTGCTTCTCTTTATTCTACATTCTCACCTGCCTCTAATGCAATATGTCTGTTTTTTATATTTCTTATTGTAAATTCTCATATTTGGGATAAACTCCCAGGTTATCATGCCATGTGATTCCATACCATACCCATTTAATTGCTTGCTCTTCATTTGCAAACTAAAAAGTTTTGTCATTAGACTCAATAACACTCAAAGTAATAATATACATAGAAGATACCTTACCGATAGTGTAGCAAGGGAGAACCTTTTGCTGTACAATTCAAAAGCACTTCTGATTTTTCTGAATTCTCTGAATATATGACATCTGATGGCTCTTGAATAAAAGCAGGACCATGATAAATTTCTTCATCTATGTTACAAAACATATTAAACACATTTAAAACATAACATTTCACTTAAAATTCAATTTTCTAGCCAGACCTTAGATATCTTTTTATATATTGATAATTTCTTGCAAATCATTCTATCTTAATGAGTTTTACATGAAAGAACTGTTTTGAGATACCTATTTTTTTTCTTTCTATTTGAAAGCAGCTAATATGGCATTTAAAAGGGATGTGGTGGCTCAGTGGCTAAGACACTGAGCTTGTCAATCAGAAAGTTGGCAGTTCAGCAGTTCAAATCTCTAGTGCTGCATAAAGCTATGAGCTCCTGTTACTTGTCCCAGATTCTGCCACTCTAGCAGTTTGAAAGCATGTACAAATGCAAGTAGAAAAATAGAGACTACTTTTGGTGGGAAGGTAACAGTGTTTGGTGCACTTTTGGCGTTTAGTCATGCCAGCCACACGGCCACAGAGATGTCTTCAAACAGTGCTGGCTCTTCTGCTTTGAAACAGATATGAGCATTGTCCCCTAGAGTTGGGAATGACTAGCATGCATATGCGGGGGAACCTTTACCATTTTTATTATGGCATTTCTCATTAACAAAGCTCTATGTAATAACAATAACAATATCCCAAAGTGGAAAGTATCCTTTCCTTCCTTCCTTGAGGGGATTTTAACTTAACCAGCCCTGTGTCGAGATATCCATCCAGTGTGAGTTTAAACACAATTTAAATATATAATATTTATGTGCCCTTAATGTTCACCTATCACCTTGCTGCTTTATTGTCAAGGCTGTAAAAATATTAGGTACTCTCTGCCTTTCGTTTATTTCAAAATCTTACGAGGTGAAATTGCTTTCAGTTTTTCCCAGATAGTCTGCAGGCAATTTCCTCTTCCCATACAAGTGCAAACATTTCATGCCTGATTAATAATAACAACACATTTCTTGAAGATTTGTGTGCGGTTTATTTACATAATAAAGGTGAGGAAATGCACTTGCTTTTAGCCTTGCTTCAGAACTATAGGATGCTTGTTGCTTTTATGTTGCCTATATTTGACTAGTTTAGAATGATCCTTCAAGAAATTATTGTAAACCATAGTTAACTGGATTACCATAACAAAATGAACTGAATTGGACTAGACAGATATAATAGTGAAGATTGCTTTGACCCCAAAAAATCCATGTTACTAAAGTGTCACGTTTCTTTCTTCTACATGTGTTTAATTGAGTCCATTTACCTTCTAACAGCATCTATAGTCTATAAGAAAACAGTGTAAATCAACTTTAAAAGTGATCCAAGTGAACAGTGTACATATTATTAAACAATAATAATATCTTGTATCTGGATTTTATTTATTTACTGTATCTGGATTTTGTTTATTTTATTTTATTTTATTTATTTATTTATTTTACTGTGGTGTCCTTGGTGCTCTCTGAGCTTCATGGTTTTCTTGCAGACATTCCATTACTCAACTAGGTAACATCATCAGTTCATTCATTCATGCATGCATGCATGCATGCATTTATATGGCTGCCCAACTCACACACAGGTGATTCTAAGTAAGTACATTGGATACAGTGTACTCGGATAAACAGCAATCTGACCAATATATTGTTTCTGCTCCTTCCTTCATCAGTATTGGCTGTACACCATTTCTTGAAAGCAAAAAGAGGCTGTCTACTGTGGACACTATTTCTAAGAGGTTTATAAAGGGGGTGGGCATAAGCGCACCAGCATGCCTACCGTTCCTGTCCTACTGTCCCCATTTATTTGTACTCATTTCATGTGCTCATGTTCATAATTGACATAAATAAAATAAATAAATTATCCTACACTCCGTCTCCATCTCCCTCCTCCCCCTCCCTCCCCCCCAATCAGTATTAATATTTGATTTCTTGATAAAATTTCAGAAGCATTTTGCCATTACTTTCTTCCTAGGAATGTATGTGAGCAACTGGGCCAAAATCACCCTGCTAGTTTTGTTCCTGAAGTGGAAATAGAATTCACAGTCTCCTTGTTTCTAGCCTGACGTGTTAACCAAAGTGGCTTTCCACCCACTGCAGTCTCAACCCATGCAAAAACACTCCATCTGTGTTCTGAAATTTCCAAAATACTGTTTTCCATCCTGAACCATCTTAAACTTTTCTAACCATTTAGATTACTTTATTCCAGTCTAGTAGCAATCCCAGTGCTTTAGTGTTTGGCATGGCTCCTCCCATCCAGTGAATATACACCCATTTCATTATGGCTTCCTTTTCTTAAATGGTTGGCAGTTTCATTTTTTATTTATTTCTTCAGTTCTTTCTGTAATGGTTATGAAGACCGCAGTGTGTATAATATCACCTGGCTCCCATTTTGTCCCTGCCTCTATGAGGTGCAGACCTTACATCTACCATTACTTCTCTTACTGGTTTCCTTTTTTATTTGTGTCCTCACAGAGTGAATAATGCATATATTTTTACCATGTTTTGCCCACTGCAAATGGCTTCCTTTTGTCCTTTTTCCTCTCCTTTTCTATTATTATTTTTTAAAATCTTTAAGGTACAACACAAAAACAAAGTTACAATCCTTCAGTGAAGGCTACTTTGCTTTATAAAGCTGAAACATCATGTTGAAAATGGATTAGCAGCTAAATCTGAGAACTAAACTGTGAACCTGTGAAATGGAAGTTTGGCGTATGGAAAAAACTGAAGGCCAGGACCTGTGTGTGGCCCACAACTACCCTTTTCAAAGTCTCTGATATTCCCACATCAATGAGATTCAAATTTCCTTTGGATATGTTTATGAAATTGGCTGGTAATCAAGGAAAAAAATGTATTTCTTAAAATGGGATTAATTGTTCCTTTTGAGGTTATTTTAACAGGCCAAATCTTCATCCTTGAATTAAATGATGAAGTACCATGAAGCTCATTTTAAGCAAGCTATAACATAGAATGCTTTGAAATGTGCTTGAATATTAGTAATAAGGGTTGGTAGTTAGGCTGTTGATTTAAGCTCCAAGCTTGGCAATTTAAATAAATAAATCTACATCTACAAAATCTAATTTGGTTGCAAACATTTCATCACCATTCGAGGAGACATCATCAGTGCATTTTGAATTGTGTTGTCGGTCAGAACACAGAAAAGCACAATTCTTCTGACAGATGAGCACAATTCTTTGGTCTTTATAGATATTTTAACTTTTCCCAGTCATTAAATAAGTGCTTTAGATAATGTTTTGAATGTCTTTTGAAAATTATACATAACTAAATAGCTACAAATAGACAAAGAATACAAATATAAAAGTTGTCCAACAAGCAGATGATATCAGGACTGTGTCCTTTCTTCTTTTTCCCCCTCAACAAGTACAGAAATAGAATAGATGAATTGCTATTAGTTTGGCATTCATGTAACTTAGATGGTTTGTTTGGTCTGAAGCAGAGGATAACAATCAGTAGCCAAAGTTGCCTGGAACTCCCCATTGCCAGCCTTATTGCTCTCCAAAAATCCCATTATCATACACATCCTTAGTGGGCAGAAGTTGAGCACAATTGGCTTGGAAAAAATGTGGCTGTACTGCGTGATCTAAAGCCAGTTAATGAGATCATTCTGAGTTGTTGCAGCTGATATAAAAAGCCAGCTTGGCAATTCAAACATCTCTTCCAAAGCTCAGTTAATCTTTACCCAGAAGTACTCACTCAGTGTGATTCCAGGACTCATTTTACTGCATTTTTTTTCTCTTTTTATGAAAGGTGCTCAACTGGAGGATCCAGAGGCTATACAATGTGTAGATCCTGACAGATTTTACACAGAAAAAAATGTTGCCAAATTGTGATTTCTATTTTGTTTTTTCTATTTTTTTCTCTCTGAGAAATTCCCTGACGTTGGGCTCTAACACAAGTCCAAAACTTTAAAAGAATAAACATCTGGTCCCTGTAACTGACCCAAACTTGATTCTACAACATTATCCTGGGACATGTATATTTGCTTTCATTTCTATTTTCTGTTATAATCAAGTTTAAAAATGGATGAGAACTTTTGGAAGTTCTTGGCGGTTGGACCTAAGGGCTCATAAATATACTCCTAGAATAGGATAGGATAGAATAGGATAGGATAGGATAGGATAGGATAGGATAGGATAGGATAGAATTCTTTATTGGCCAAGTATGATTGAACACACAAGGAGTTTGTCTTCGGTGCATAGGCTCTCAGTGTACATAAAAAGACAAGATACATTCATCAAAAATTATAAGGTACAACACTTAATAATGGTCATAGGGTACAAATAAACAATCGGGAAACAATATCAATATAAATCGTAAAGATGCAAGCAACAAAGTTACAGTCATGCAGTCATAAGTGTGAGGAGATGGGTGATAGGAATGATGAGAAGACTAATAGTAATTCAGCCTTAGTGAATAGTTTGACAGTGTTGAGGGAATTATTTGTTTAGCAGAGTGAGCGTTTTTGGAAAAAAATGGTTCTTGTGTCTAGTTGCCTTGGTGTGCAGTGCTCTATAGCATTGTTTTGAGGGTAGGAGTTGAAACAATTTATGTATGGGGTGCGAGGGGTCTGTAAATATTTTCATGGCCCACTTTTTGACCTGTGCAATATACAGGTCCTCAATGAAAGGCAGGTTGGTAGTAATTGTTTTTTCTGCAGGTCTAATTATCCTCTGAAGTCTGTGTCTATCTTGTTGACTTGCAGAACCCAACTCTATTCAAAGCAAACAAAAAAGCAGCCCCTGAAAGGGCTGAATGCTGACTCAACGGAAAATGGAAGAGACGAAAGTTAGTGGTTCAATTTCTGAATATAAAATATGGCCCTTGTTAGTGCAGCTTCCCCCTTTTTGTCTATTCTCTTGATTAGTAGTTTTCTGTGGGAAGCTAGATTAGGAAGATATTTATAAAGTTTCAAACTGAGAAAAATAGAAGAAAATGCATTTGCTTTCTCTCATTTTTCTTCGCAAATTTCACATCCAAGCATAATTTATTCAGTGGAACAGTTTACAATTGGCAATAGTTACACGGTGAAAATTAAGAAG